TATTCAATACTAAAGCTTTGTATTATTACTAGTTTTTTCATATTTAAGTTAATCAAGAAGCACATGCCATGAATATCTTTTGTTGTTAAATCTCTTGCAATTGCTTTAATGTACAATTTATTGTTGAAAATAATTACCTAGCTTTGAGTTTCTCACCGATTTTTCTCGTAGCTGAAGCTGCATTTCCAAATAGTGGCATAATCATAAAATATAAGCACCTGTAATGGCCAAGCTGAATGAGAAAAAAAAGGATTTAGTTTTGTTTGAAGTAACGGCTATCCCATTTTTCAAATGGATATCGAAATATAACATGCTTTGTTTTATCTAAGACTTCTCTAACATGAATTGTAGTGTTTGGGTTTCAACATGTGCTAAATTCAACTTTGATTTCTCCGAATCTAATCAAAGTTTTTCCTACAAGAGAACACGTGCAGTATTTGCCTCACTCCTAGCAGTTACATTTTCATCGTTCCTTTAGATGTGCGATTTATGGACTAATCTCCGTTTCAAGAGTGAAGGCTAGAGACCACGGGAATAGCTTTATTATTCATTTGTTCTCTTCAATTGACAGAAGCGGATGCGCTGTCAATCTGTGAATTAGATCACAGGTAGCGTTCGCTGAAGTTCACGAACGTTGTTTTTAGATTCGCTTTATGGAAACGTCTCGTGAATTATCACCGATTTTACCCTCCAACTTGTTACTGATTTCTGTGACGAAGCCAAACTTCTTGTTTAATTTGAGGGTCTCGTCAAATATCAATCCAGTCGGGATTTCGATCGTTGACCTCATTGTCCCTGGGCTACAGGAACTGTTTAATACGTGTGTGTCCGCACGGGCAGGTACCACCACCCTGCCTATTTCTGCCGTGAAGCAGTAATGCGTTTCGGTTTGAAGGTTGGGGCAGCCGTTGTAACTATACTTGAGACTTTAGAACTTATATCTCAAGGTGGGTGGCGCTTTTGCGTTGTAGATGTCTATGGGCCCCAGTAACCACTTAACACCAGGTGGGCTGTGAGGTCGTCCACTCATCTAAGCAATAAAAAAAATATATATAAATGAATTGCTGTTCGTTAGTTTGGCAAATTTTGGTGTTAAATTCTTTGTGGAAGTCCAGAGAAGGTTTAAAAGGTAGATAAATATGAAAATGCTCGGAATTTAATAAAAATAACAATTTTGTTTTTCTTTTGATGTGTCCCCCGTCAGACAGATTCCCTTTGTTTGTTTTAAGTTTATTTTATACAAAAGTTTAGGTCTTTTCTTTATCGATTGAGACGCTACGAAGTCTGCCGGGTCAGCTAGTAAAAAATAAGAAAGAAGATGAACCGTAATATTCTAGAATACGTCAAAAAAGGCTTGCATCTTGTGTCTCTAGTTGCGTTGGCAGGACCGATGTGTTGTCTGTGGCCTCTGTCATGACATCAAACTCCAGACACTTAAGCTGTTCACGGCATGCCAGCATGTTTACTAAAGCTTGGCGATTCGGCTGGCTTGGACCGATCGTGGACTAAACATGATCATCGATTGATATAGAGTTATACACGAAAAAAAATCGGGCAAACTTCAATTCTGATTTAAGCACGCAAGAGTTTATTTCTAGAAATCTATACAAACGATGAAGTCAATGATGAAATAGTTTTCTTTGGGTTAAATTGAAATCGATCCAAGATTACAACAGATAAAAGGATTTATTAATACGGTTTATTCATGTGTGAATGATATAGTAGCGCGGGTCCGTCGTGACCTTCCTCCCGTTACGCAAGGCGAACCCTTTGAAGTTTCATATATATTTTTATGTTTCTATTCACGGTTCGTAATTATAATGAGACTACGAAGAAAATATATCAGAGCAATGAACCTTGTTGGAGTATAAATTGTTAATTTATTGAAGCTACATCTAACTGGTACTCGTAATATTCATCTTCTGCGCTTTCGAACGATCCATCTGTTTTCCCCAGGTGTATATTATTATTATTATTAATACTTTATATCAGTTTTTTTTTAAACCATAACATTTTGTTAGTAACAATTACTTATAATCTATGTTAGTAACTTAAAAAAAATCTAACACATAACTATCATTATATACATTTTATACCATTACATTTTTTTTTTCTTTCCTTAATTAATGACTAAATATTAAATGTGGAAGGGTTGGCTTAAATAACCCTTATCCGACCCAGACGACGGGTCAACGCGAAGCCTTTGTCGCCCAAAGTATGTCTTGTTGCATCCCCCGAATTTATTCTAGGTGCTTTAGGCTTTAAAAGCACCGGTCACCGTCCTCGTCAAATTCGTCAATTACGACGAAGAGTTCGACGAGCGAACGAACCCATAGACACAGCCCACTGAGTTTCTCGCCGGATCTTTCTCAGTGAGTCACGATTGCGATTCTGTGGTAGATTCTGGGAAGCCTTGCCTTTGCTAAGTCTAGTGTTAGGAAATTCTCTCAGGTTGAGTCCGTGAGCTCACATACCAGTCCGGGCGTAGCTGGGATAATCAGTTAAGCTACCAGGGAATAGGCAGGGGCAAAAAAATTACTATCCCCATTCAAACTCGAACGCATGACTTTTTTAAGGCAGAAACAGCTACTCACAATATGTACGTACCACCACTAAATCAAAACAGGTGATGGAAAAGTGGTATCATGAGTTACTTAACAGCAAGCTAGAAAATCTTCTTATTAACTTGAATGTAGTTAATGAGTAACTATAAATGAGTGTTGTAACTACACTCTAGACCTTAGAGCTTATATCTCAAGTTAGGTGGCGCATTTACGTTGTAGATGTCTATGGGCTCCAGTAACCACTTAACACCAGGTGGGTAGTGAGCTCGTCCACCTATCTAATCAACAACAAAAAAACATGTATCGTTGCTTTTAAAATAAATCGGTTCTTTCTCATCGATTACCGCATTTTTTGTTTCCTATTACAACCGAAAGCAGTAAAGAACAAACTTTTCACGAAATTTTATAATATCAATTCAAATACAAGCAACCCACAAAGTTTTCGACGCGCGATCCACACGAATCCATCGTTTATTTTGTAAATATTTGTACGCGTGTTCAAATAATACACTTCGATCTGTCTTCTCTTTTATAATTCTGAAGGAAACGAAAATAAACGGACCCGGTTTCTTGAAGCCGTGAAGGTCCGCGGATTTAGATTGTAGCGCTCGTAAAAATAACTAGGTTTTTGACAGTTGACAAGGTTAACCGTTGACATTTCGTTGAGGCGGTTTTTTTTAATTGACATTATTTTCATTTTGACTTCTTCATTTTCGCAGCTAATAAATGTTAAACTAAGAATACAATCGTAGTATCTTATTAATAACGACAGTCTCTTTTATGTTTCGTTATTGACTATTCGATTTATCAAAAATAAAAGAGAAAATGTTAGAGATAAAATGAATCTTTATATTTATGGTCGAATTTAGATCATTGGGCTAACACCAGTAGGGATGACCCAGTAATCGATATGCTGTTAATTTTCAATTTAATTGGGGTATAGGCCTCACAAGACTTTTGAACTCGACTGAACGTAGCTTAATCACGTTTGACGTCATTGTGGGCTAAAACAAATCACTAACTCCATAGATCAATTACCATTGTGGTAATTGTGGTAAAAAGTGGTAACTGATCGATAACCAGCTCACAATAGATTAGTTACTTTTTTTACCCCATGATTGGACAACGTGATCGTAATTGCAAAAACAACTACCTAGTTAAAACTTATAGTATTATGATGGCCATTTATGGCCGGTACAGGGGCGCCGATAAAGTGATTGCCTAGGGCGCTCTGGACCTTTAATCTGCCACTGGACACATCCCACTGAGTTTCTCACCGGATCTTCTCAGTGCGTCGCGTTTCCGATCCGGTGGTAGATTCTGCGAAGCACGGCTCTTGCTAGGGCTCGTGTTAGCAAGCCCCGTGAGCTCACCTACTAGTTCGGGGAATCTAGGATAACCCTTCGAGGTTACTAGATAAGGTATGAAAAAAATTTTTAGATACATTTCAATGTTATCGTAAAGTTTCTCGATTTTTTTTTTAGTACGAACATTAACTAAATTAGTTGGAGACATAAAATTTGTTTCGCATTACAAAATTGAAATATGCTCATCGCGTTTTATTCGTTTTCCTTTCTGCTTCTGCTAACGAGATTCGTGTCTGTCGCTCCTAATTAGTTGAATTAATAAATTTGTTGCTTCAATTTAATGAACTCCGTCGGCGTCGACAGATTGATTTGTGTCCTCTCAACCGAACAATGCCTTTATGAAGAAAAGCTCCTCTCGGATGTTATTGACCTCTGGAACAATAAACAAAGACTTTTGGGGGTACGTTACGAAAGCTCTTTATGTAAAAATGTAAGACGCGAGCTTAAAATAGCCGTTCACTCGATTCTCTTCGTGGGAACATAAATTATCAATTATGAATTTCAACAAGACGCAACATGTTTTTTTTAATTGAATTTTGTATACAGTTGTTTTCTTTTTAAAATATTTACGAGGATTTTGATGTTGTACATCATTTCAGAACCGCTGTTCTTTTGCTTTCAGTTCAATTACATATTATATTTATACTGGTGGTAGGACCTCTTGTGAGTCCGCGCAGGTGGGTACCACCACCCTGCCTATTTCTGCCGTGAAGCAGTAATGCGTTTCGGTTTGAAGGGTGGGGCAGCCGTTGTAACTATACTTGAGACCTTAGAACTTATATCTCAGGGTGGGTGGCGCATTTGCGTTGTGGATGTCTATGGGCTCCAGTAACCACTTGAAACCAGGTATGCTGTGGGCTCGTACAGCCATCTAAGCAATAAAAAAAAATATAAAAAATTACATAACCAAACTGAAACGTTGTTGTTTGAACGTATAAACACTTTGTGATTTCTTGTGAGCTGTTCGGAACGGTGTCATATATTTTTGTTTTAAGTAAATCCATCTTTCGCTTGTTTATAAATAGACAGTAACCGGAACAAGTGAACGGCACACCGTCTGCGTGGAAGGTGCGAATCGTTCGGCGCCTAAAGCTCTACCCCGACCGCTCGTGGCATTAGTCGTCTCGAACAACCCGTTCCGACAACACGCGCTCCCAACCGCGAGTTTCTCATACGATCGGCCAACGAAGTATTTTGAGTAAATCTTGAGAACCCTGTAAACAAATAATATGGTAGTGTGAAAACAACAACAATGTCGTTCTGCAGAATTACGGGCCGCAGTAGAGGGCTGCCGAAGCCCAACTACTTTCCTCTTCTCGCACCGATTTCCCCTGCCGATGCGAAGCGCTGCTGCAGGATCACCGGCAAGTCTTACGGGCTGCCTTCACATCATTACATTCCAGTACTACTCACGGCTCGCTCTACGAAGGCTAAATGTAAAATTACGAATATATCCGGAGAACTGGGACCGCATCATTATTCGCCGGAAATTAATTATGGAAACAGAAAACACGAGATGCTGCCGGACTACAGATATATTTTCCCTGTTCTAGACGGTTCGACTGAAGCACAGAAAGGATTGATAGAGTTGCTGTTAGGGAAACAAGTTACGGAAGACAAACGTTATGTTTACACAGTGCAGGAAAGAAGATGCAGTCTAGTGTTTTCTGCTCAGATGGAAGCGGCGGTTCGCGACGGCGACGTTAGGGACGTTATGCTTGCCAAAGATTCGGACACCGTACTTATCAAAACTAAACAGGGTCGCAGCGTTTCAATGGACTTTAAAGATTTTACCGAAGACGTGGAGATGTTCGAAGGCGAGGGACCAAATGCAGAAGTACTTAAACAAAGAGAAATGGAAGAATTAGAAGAAAAAAAGAAGAAAAGGAAACGCACAGCTGGATTATCGTCTATGAAGAAAATTTTTGAAAATAAAGAAAAACTGGCTGATGTTCAAGAATTAGAAGAAGAAAAACAGCGCCAGGATCGAAAAGCGAAAAAAGCCAAGATGGAAGAATTCAGGCATGAGAAACACGACGTGAAATGCTTCACTTACGACAACTTTGATTTGAATCATATGCGCTCAAAATCGAGCATTGTGACGTGTTCTGGAGAATGGAGAAATCAGTTACACCCTCTAGGAGAGTCTTGGAGTTGGGATGAATTTGAAAAAGATATTATTGATGAGAATTTTATACCGAAAGTAACACAACTACCGACGCCCTTAAAGATAGCGCCATATCATTGTGAAGCAGAGATATATGAAGTTAACAAAAATATTAGCGATGTGTCAGTTTCTTTAGAGAGTGTGCCATGCGTTAACCCCCTTAAGCCAGTGAAAGCTCGACCTGAACAGACAGTGTTGAGTGGAATTAAAGAGCTATCAAGTGAAAAGTTGATTGAAACGGCTAATGTTGCTGAAAGATTAATCGAAAACGGAAAAACTGATCTACTCCCGACCATCGATTGTTTGCCGGAGGTGGTCAAGAATATTAAAAAGGGTAAAAGAAATAAAATAGCTGCAATTTCTGGTCTTTCGTTAGACATAAACAAAGCCAAGAAATTTGTTCCTGGACAAATGCTGAATACACCCCAAGGTACTGTTTTTGTGCCGGGACAGACTATTGAGACGCCAGATGGTCCAATATTTGTGCCCGGTTTAAGTGTCAACACGCCTGCCGGACCGGCTCTTATACCAGGTCACATAGTTATGAACGAAAACAACAACGAGCCTTTATTTCTTGCTGGCCAAAATTTAATGACAGCGAATGGAGAAGAGTTTGTTTGCGGTCAAACAATCAGAACCAAGAACGAAACTTATCGGTTCCTTGAAGGTCAAACAGTGCTTTCTGAAGAAGGACTGAAATTCGTACCCGGAAAAACTATTAGCACAGGATCCGAAGAAGTTTTTGTTCCTGGTCAGGCGATTATGACACCGGACGGCGTTCAATTTATTCCCGGTCAAACAATAACAGAAGACACAGAAATCACTTTTACGCCGGGGCAAAATGCGAAAATTAACAATGAGTGGCAGTTCGTTCCCGGGCAAGTACTACAGCAAGACGACGAGTTACACTTTGTTCCTGGTGCCACGATAGCAACACCGAATGGCTTGAAATTTGTTCCCGGTCAAACAATTACTGTCAACGGAAAAAGTTGCTTTGTCCCCGGTATTTCTAAAACTACCAGTGATTCTTCTCTTCAGTTTGTTCCCGGAACAACGTTAGAAACTATTGATGGGCCGAAATTTGTTGAAGGTCAAGTCGTCATTACGAACCACGGGGAAAAATTTGTACCAGGGAAAACTATTGTGCAGGCTGATGGTCACGTAGAGTTTTCTGTTGCCAAATCTGTTGAAGACATAACTTTTACAGAAAGTACACCTACTGGTTTACCAATAGATATCAAAACCTGTTCATTATCAGAAGAATCCCTTTACGTATTCGGGCATATGATACAAACAACTAAGGGCATAGAGTTCTATCCTGGCCCTAGGATTCCGAAAGTGGAAGGTAAAGTTGTGCCCGGAAGACTGGTGAAAAATGATTTAAATCAATCCCGCTTTGTACCTGGTACTATGGTGGAAGGCATTTTCGTACCTGGGCAAATCGTGTTTACTGAAAACGGAGAGCAGTTTGTACCGGGTCAAGTTGTTGATACGGCAGATGGACCAAAATTTGTACCGGGTCAAGTTGTGAATACTAAATCAGGACCAAAGTTCGTTCCCGGTCAGACTATACATACCATCGATGGTCCTCGCTTCGTTCCTGGACAGATTATAGAAACAAAAGCTGGACCAACATTCATACCTGGTCAAGTAATTTCTACAGATGAAGGCTCTAGATTTGTCCCCGGTCAAGTTGTAGATACCGAAGAAGGACCCAGATTTGTTCCTGGAAGAGTGGTAGAAACTGATGATAATGGAGTCACTTTCGTTCCTGGTCAAATCGTTCAAACACCTGAAGGACTTAAATTCGTAGCCCCCGACCTAACCGAAGGTGAAGAAGGCTTAGAATTTTCAGTGCAAAGTTTCGTTGTCACCCCTGAAGAGCTCAAATTACTCAAAGTAAAAACTAATCCCAATGACACAACCTCTACGAAAGGCGAGCTCACTATCGACACTAAAATGCTAAGGCAGCTCTCAGAGGCAGGTATGTCGATTGGTAGACAGGTTCCAGCCGATTTACCATCAATTAGTGTTATATTAAATCAAACTAAAAACGTAGAAGCCTTGAAGGCATTCGTGACAGACTTCGGCTTAAAAGACGAAGTTGCGAACCAATTGATGGATGTTATTTCATCGATTATTGAAATGAGTGCTCATATAAAGTCTGAAATGCACGACAGTGATAGAAGCGACTCCTCAGCATCATCTGAAATCAAGAAAATCAGAGGAACCAAAAAGCGTATGGATGTTCAGGAAACCGTTGGTTTCATTGGAGGTAATGGACAGTCTGCACATCAAGAACGAGTGAAAAATTCAATTGCTGCCGCAGTTTTGGCAGCCCTGGTAACTGCGGAACAGTTTGAAGAAATAAACAATAATAATAGTAAAGAGAAATATCAAATGATTTTGAAATCGATTGACACAATTCTAGGAAAGGCTCTTGATGAAGATTTTGTATCGGCTATGTACGCGATACTTCAAAAAGAGGAAGATAAAGAAATGCTCTGTGATGAAATTCTCGATAATACGTCGGAATCTAAAGTAGAATTAATAAAATTGGCCGTAAATAATGCTTTAAACAAACATTCCATCAATGAAGATGAAATTATTGAAAAATTTGGAGAATTTCTTGGTGCCGAGAACGAAGTATTAGGCCCGGCATTCAAAAATATTTCTAAATGCGACACGAAACTTCTACAACACATACTTGGACGTATTTCTGAGTCAATATATTTCGTAAACACCGACCATGAAGCCACTGAAACGTTGCAAAAAGCGATCGTGTCAGCGGTCCAAGATTCGAGCAGTCAAGAAATAAAAATATTACTAAACGAGAAGTGTGAACAAGAAAACGTAAAGGAATTAATCGCGCAGTCAGTCGGGCTCGCTAAACTACTCGGAATGAGAGACATCGCCACAAAACTAATGGCTATTGTAAACAGTGAAGAGGACTTGTCTAAAATAGCATCCGACGATACCAGCCTTAGCATATTAAAACGTTTAATTGTTATGAGGAAGCTCGCGGAAAAATCTCCCAGCTTGCTTTCTGCTTTACATAAGTTGGAAACCAATCCAGAGTTGGCTCGCACGGACCCTAATCTTAGGGACTTGGTGCGAGAAAGCGCCGCGCTGATGATCATTCCAGAAGAACCACCTCTCATGTCATCACAAGACGTCCCGTTGAGTCTACTTCAGCCTGAAAATAGTCTCGCCATGGAAGACTTTTTGTTCCAGCGTAAGAAGAAAGTCTCTGGGGCTCTGTTGATCATGAAAAAAGGATTGCAAGCTGTGGTTCCTAGAGAAGCCAGTCGAGCGGTTTTAACCGGACAAGTGGCGTACACAGTTCTAGATGAAAATGGAATTCAACATTTCGAACCCCTACACGTATTCTCAGCTTTAAACTTAAGCCAGCCCTCGGCTCATCGCTTCTCAATGTACAGCTGTCCTATTGTGGACAACCAAGATGAAGATCTGGAAACTTTTAACGGCTATTGCAATATCAGTAATAGTCAGATCATAACGAGAATGAGCGGTTGGGGCAGGAAATACAGCGGGGTTTTACTAGATAGGGATAATACTAGGAGTAGGATGAGCAGCTTGGAAAATACACCCAGTTACAAACGATATCCTTCGCGCTCACTGTCTAGATCTCGTTCCAGCTGTAGCAGGAGTCCTCCTAAGGTACTTTGGATCGTGAAACTGTTTGTTTGTTTTTAATTCTCAGCAACTAACGTGGTTTTTCTGGTTGTTATAGGTGGACGACGTGGTGGTAGCGTCTTCGGACTACACCGCCGCTACCGATGACGAAGTCTCGTTGAAGACCGGCGACATAGTCGAGGTTCTCGATACGAAAACTGCTCTCGGAGCCAAGTAAGTACATGATTTTATTATTGGCATGAGCTTTGCACAACTGTGCCCTCATTGATGTATTTCGTAAACATATAAATAACTGTACGGACATGCGCGCCTTGTGTAACAGTAGTCGTTACTTCAGCTATAACTGTAATAGATTGGGTACTGACTGTTTAGCTCATTAATATGATACATGCTCTGGACAAGACCAGAATTGTGTCTGTTCAAAGCAGTTGCTAATTCAGTAGAGGTCACCTTCATGATTTAGAATGTTTAGCTATTTTATAGGTGATCGGAGGTGTTTTTTTTTTGAATACAATTAGAATTTTAGGGAGCGTGTGATTCGCCGTTCTGTGCATGGGAACTGTCGCAAAATCCATTCTGCTATTTTTTGAAACCGTAACTCGTTGGTAGTTCAACACTTGAATGTCCTCTCTAAGTGATATGTATTGACAATATTAATAGCATGCGTACGTAATGCAATACGATTGTTCCCCGCCAACACTTAATGCAAACAGCACGGGTCATCTATTCGTGATACTCCCAAGCGTCGGATTGCATAAAGAAAATGTCCGGAATGCATATTATCTTCATTTCGATGCGCGAAACATTCCGTATGGCTTGTAAATTTAGACGAGAGTTCATTGCACTTTGACGCTTCACAAATGTTTTGTTTCCTATAATAATTCTTTAATAATCTTCATCATTAATCTATCATCTAATTTAAACGTGCATGCCGCATCACTTGATCTAGTGTTAGCTTGTGACGTCAAAAAGTCCATCAACTTGAAGAGTTGTCACCACCAGTCACAGGCAGATGATGCCCAGAGCAGCTGTCTGTGGTAATCTTTAAATAAAGTTTTAAGAGAGACACGTGTTAAGAAGGGACAGAAGATATCAGTAGAATCACATTGTAATGAATATGAATTATTGATACAGGTACAGAGGCCGCGTTTATTGTTACGAGAACCACTTCTTCAAAACGAGAGGTCCATCATTAGATTACGTTTTTAGCGTGCCTACATACAAAATGTACTATTATTAATAAAAAGAAAATAATTATAAATTTACGCAAGCAACATAACAACGGAAAAAATATAAAATTTGCGATCATTATTGAAATAAAAGTCGAATTTCATATTGTTCTTCGACGAATGAAATTTATTGTAATATATCCCGTCTACAAATTTTAACCAAGCAAGCCATGAATCAGATGAATTAAGAATTCACCTTTAAAACTCACGTGAATATGTCCAGCCACCTATGAGCTTATTCGAGTATCCTACCTCGGCTCGGGTTAGCCCCAATATTTACTATTTCATCCTTAGTAACAAGCTGAGAATTTCACTTTTGTTCCATCAAAATTTCCCCTTGATTCGTTTTAAAGGGTAATCCATTGCCTTTGGAACAAAGAACTCTGACATTCAGATTATATGTAGAACTATTATCGTAGTCGGGAAATACTAAGTTTTTATATCTCACAGAATCATTTAGGAACGTAATGTTCACGCGTGCTTACACTCAGCAGACAGTTGATTAGTTGTAAAATTAAATTTTAGATTTATATTAGAATGTATAGTGTTTTATTGATTTAAATCATAGCAATGTGCCGGTTAGAATGTTCTCTCAAACGGTTCATGGTGTAAAATTACATTACATAGACCATTGTATATATCAGCTTATAAGATTTGTAATTAAAATATATGTATCATTTTATAGTCGTGATCAAAACTTATTGTGATAACATTGTGTTTCATTAGCTCCTTCGTGTTGGCATTCATTGATTTTATGTATAATACTGTGTACCATGTGTATCATCGATTTAAAAAAGGTAATGTAATAAATTTAGTAAAATGTTTGTAGTTTTTCTTTTTTGTATTTTACTGTATATGCAGTATTTGATGTGATTGCAAGGAATCGTAAGTACAAATGTCAGTTTATAATATACAATGTGTCGACTGGGGTTTTGGGGTTTTGTCGTTACGACTGGTAACTATAATTGTGTCCGACACATTACTGAAGAAGTAAGTACGTGAAACAAATTATGTTTGAGGAAAAAATACTTAAATATTTTTAAAGTTTTCACTCCAGTTATGAATCTCGATTACGTTCTCATAGTAAAACCTAAAGAATTCGATATTAATATTTCAAATATGTAATTTTACTGTTGTAGACATACTAACAACTGGCTGACCTGACAATAAGTGGCTACCACCGCCCATGGGCACCGGGCAATACCTAATACTATGACAAATACGTAGGTGCGTTGATTCGAAAATATAATGTAATTTTAGTCTTTAGCTTTATGCCAGACAGAGAACGCACTGCTTTGTATAATGACGTCATCGTTCAAGAACGGGATTCAAAATATAACCCAATCTGAGGCGTTAGAAACAGAAGACGTTCTGTCGACTCTAAGCATTTTAATCTTTATATGTCTTATTTTTATTTATAAATTTTAAATACAAATATACATGAAGTAATTTGGTCTTAGAAATACGATGTAAATCAACTTGTACAATTAATGTCTCTAGCTTATGTTACTTTGTTTATCCTTTAACTTCCTATTCCAATTGTATTGAAGCTTGGATATTTGTTGTCGGCACATCAGAACAGCTTACTCTTACATTAATTAAGACGCGCGATTAGTATCAAGAGATCAATGTTGTCCATATTATAAAGCAATTTTCCCGGCAAAGCGTTCCGAGTTCACTGGTCAGGGGTAAAAATAACTATAAAATGTGAGCTATTATTTATTTCGAAGAGCAACTACGGTGATAGAACACACAAGTAGAGATTTATTATGAACACATTTTTCATTCGTTTTGCATAATTTATTGAAAGTTTTCGCTCCACGCTTCGATAGTTAGTATATTATCTGTTGAAATTATTTCGTTATTATTTCTAAGATTTTTATTTAACTCACCTTTCGGTGCGTGGGCATCATCCTGGGTTCGTGAATCATCGTGATTCACGGAATCACTTGTATCATTGTAATTTGTTTTAAGAACGGCTATTTAATTTGTTTCAAGAAAACCATAGACTAGTATTTCAGGGTAACTTTTAGTTTCTCTATTAAGATCTTATTTCCTGTATAATTGGCAGTTACATTTATAAAAATACACTTTATGGGCGTGCGTTTTAGATTTAATCACCTTGAGGTAATGTGACATAGATTTTTTTTGTTTTCATAGATATAACAGGTATTCGGTCTAACAGATCGAAGCGTATAAGACAGACATTCTTTTAGAGCGACAAGAATGCAATAACAACACATAGCAACTAGTGACAACCACTAGCAGCACATCTGAGTTTTTTAATCCTATTGCCTATCAAAATCTTCAGGTTTGATTAATAGACAAGCCGTTTTCCATCATAACAGGTTTTTTAATAGTTATGATGGTAGACGAGCGTAGAGCTATTACTGGTGGTAGAACTTCTTGGAAGCCCGCAAGGGTAGGTACTACCACACTGCCTAGTTCTGCCGCAAAGCAGTTATTAGAACCGATACGTAAGTATCTTAAGTTGTGTCAGAACGCTACTTCGACAAATTGGCGTGACACGCTAATTCTCTTATTATGGCAGCCGCTAATTACTTATTCGACCCAGGCGACAGAGCAACGCAAAGCGACCGTTGCTCGATACATGTTTTGTCGGATCCCTCGGATCCTCCTTCGGTATTTTAGGCCCCTCAAGCACCGGTCACGACGAGTGAACTAACCCAAAGACAAAGCCCACTAAGTTTCTCGTCGGATCTTCTCCATGGGTCGCAATTCCAATTCGGTGGAAGATTCTACGAAGCACTGCTCTTGCTAGGGCTAGTGTTAGCAAAGTCGTCAGCTTTGAGCACCGTAAGTTTACCTACTTATTAGGTTACGCTGATATAACCTCTCAAGGCTATCAGCTTAGGTAGGAAAAAAAAATATGTTAAAAACAATGGTGACTTCCGGTGGATTTCTGAACACGGGCCGGGAGTCCGGTAAATTCAGCAAAGCAAATGATCAGAGTATTAGAAAATTCTCAGGTGGATGACGAGTTTATTCTCATGTCCAAGCGATATAAAAAAGTCCGCTAATCCGCAAAACACATTTACCGCTAATAAATTAGGGCATAAAAATAAACGGGCGATAGAAGTTTTGGGTCTGTCTCGTATTTTATCAGTGAAAGAATAGTGCGGTTTGCATCAGTAACGATACGATTATTTCAGTACATATTTCGAAATGGTAAAAATACAAAAAAATGTAGAAATAGACAAAACCACATGCATATGGCTAGACCGGAGTCGTCGTGTACATCTGGAAGTCGGCCAACCTGACTAACGCAGGTGAGGAACGTTTTACATAGACAACCGAAGTGCCTCGTAAAAATATATAGCTTTCTTTAAATTCTTTATGGAATAATAATGTTGAGAAATATCATAATTTAAGTTTCACATTTTTATGATACTGTCATTAATATAAAAAATACTTTGAGTATGTTTACAACTAGATAGCGTTAAAGATAGTTGAGCGTGTTTTAAAACATGTAAACGTGTAGTTTTTTTTTTATTAGAATTAAATAGGTTTTATATTAGAATTTAGCCGATAGGAAATTCTAGTCTTTATCTGTTGCAATACTTACCTTAATTTATTTATTTTATTTATTTATTACACATCATGTAAAATTTACATTGGCGGACTTAATGCCTAAGGCATTCTCTACCAGTCAACCAAAGGTAGTGCAGAGTAAATAGTGGTAGGTGCAATGAAATTTAAATGAGGTCTTACTAATTCTTATTAATTCTTAATATCTCGGCAGAAGTCATCTAGATAGACGGTCTGAATGTTTTTTCCCTATCTATGCTGATAGCCTTGAGAGGCTCACAAGAGCTCACGGGGCTCAAACCAGAGTGTTGCTAACACTGGCCCTAACAAGAGCAATGCTTCGCAGAATCTACCACCGAATCGGAAAAGCGACCCACTGAGAAGATCCGCCGAGAAACTCAGTGGGCTGGGTCTATGGGTTAGTTCGCTCGTCGAGCCCTTCGTCGCAAGCGACGGGTTCGACGAGGACGGTGACCGGCATGTTCAAAGATTCCGTTACAAACATACATACATACGTCTGAAGCTAATAAAATCTTATAAAAAATTGTGCAATATATTACTTTAACATATAAATCTACCTAAAAACAATAGGTACCTTTATCATAGGACGACTGGTGTCGACCTAGAACTCCTCCAACCCATCTCTTCAAGTGATTATGACTAAAAGTTTCACCGAAGAATAGGCAGTGGGTTTCTCTGAGTATTACGATAGGAGTACCCTAGTACCTACTGCTATCGGTGACCGGTATTTACTGACGGTAAAACTTTTTACATGCTGGTAAGTATACAACGAGATCTTTTACCATTGACCCTACCGTGAGCAGCAAGCTTCTCGATAAACTCTGCAGACAACCTTTGAGAGACATTAAGTTCTTTTCGGATTGAGGCGTTGGTGAGATGCTCAGTCCAAGATATACGGAGCATCCTTCTTCAGAAGCCCCATGCGCTGGACTGATCAGGTGAAAATCATTACCAAAACCACACTTAACGAGTGCGTGCACCAAGCCTCAGTTCGCGAACTATGGAGCACAGCTGTCAAGGCCTTAATAAACAAGGATTCCACATGACCAGGCCTGCTCTACCAGGAATAACCGACTGTGATGATGAGGTATACCACTAGTTCGCCGCAAAACGTTCCCATCTGAAGTGTGGGTCAGTCGGTGTACATTAAAGACTTCGACATCTGGTCTCAGATTGGTTGGCGGCTTTCACGTGGTGATGTCTATGGACTCCGTAACGACTTTACAATAAGTGTACCGTGCGCTCATCAACCAATCAATGCGATAAAGGGACACTGTTTAGTACTTACTACTTATTATTACTAATAAGTATCTGCATCCGTGATGAGGATAATGAAAATCATGAGTAAGTTTTCAATAATAACTGTTATTAGTTTCAACTCAATCGGATAAAATCAGTGCGTCATGAACACTCACGAACACAGTCATACCCGATCCTGTAGACCGAATGTTAAATAGTCGACGTCGCCCAAAACGCGTCATTACGGATCCTCCTGACCCATTAACTGTGCTTTTAAGTACCACAAGCACCGGTCACCGGCGTCGTCGAACCCGTCGCTTGCGACGAAGGGCTCGACGAGCGAATTAACCCATAGACTCGCTGAGTTTCTCGCCGGATCTTCTCAGTGGGGCGCGTTTCCGATCCGGTGGTTGATTCTGTGAAGCACCGCTCTTGCTAGGGCCAGTGCTAGCAACACTTCTGGTTTGAGCTCCGTGAGCTCACCTACTAGTTAGGGTGAAGCTGAATAGCCTCTCAAGGCTATCAGCATAGATTGGAAAAGAAAAAAAAACACGAAAAGCTTCATTTTTCTGCATTAAATAGTAATCGAAACTAATCAAAAGGCAATAATTTCGTCCTATATTTCTTAGCACAGTAAATATGTACTACACGAATATGAAATCGTTCAAAACAGAAATGAAAAAAGTCGATTTAAATTTTAAATTAACGACTGATTCCCCAAACGTTTCGCTTCAGCGTTTTTAAAATACACAAATTTTTAAAACATCGCATTCGTCATTCGAAGATTCACTGACTGACCACAATAATAATTACAGCTTCGCTTCCAATACGACAAATTAAATTTCCAAGTTGTGCTCTCTCGTGTATGATGCTAAGTTATAAACGTTGCACGCTGACGTCAGAGTGAAACTGGGTCGTTCTGAAATAGCTTGTTCCAGGACGACACAGTCAATGCACTGCATCCGTACGTACTGTTGTACCGCTCACGTTTATAAGTCTGTAACACAATATGACACAATTTATATTATTAAATAATACGTGACGCAAAAATTTTGTAGCTCTTTTTGACGAAAACTGCGCGAACGGAGGCCTATGAAATTTCCCACACTTATAGAGAATTTAGAGAAGGACTGCGGGATGCTAATATTTAAAAAAAAATGCGTTAAACATATATTAAACCAATAAAAAAAGAATAAAAAAACTCTGCTCTACTCTACCCTTTTGTTTATTTTCAAACTTTTGTTATTGCTTAAAGTCTGTGGTCAAATTGAGAATAGATTCAATATTGTTTTATTAATTTTTTTATTGCTTAAATGCATGGACGAGTTCACGCCCCACCTGGTGTTAAATGGTTATCTGAGCCCATAGATATCTACAATGTAAATGCCGCCACTCGCCTTAAAATATGAGTTCTAATGTCTCAGTTTTTAAGCTACAACGGCTGCCTCATCCTTCAAACCGAAACGCATTACTACTTCACGGCAGAAATAGGCAGAGTTGTAGTACCTACCCGTACGGGCTCACAAGACGTCCTACCACCAGAATCCTTCTATTTGAAGGATTTAAGATTGTTTTAGCAATAAGTAGCATATTAGCTATGCTCGTATTATTAGTGATCTCCATGAGACTATAATAGAAAAAGCCGTGAGCCCATTTGTCTACGAGAACAACAAAAGATATCTATGGATGAATCGCTGTAGTAGCAGGTCGAGGTTTCCACACCTGTACCTCCTTTGTAATACACGAACAAAGTATTTTCAATATGGTTCTCTAGCCTAGAATTTATCGCATTTCAAAGTGCTTTTAAATTTGAGAATACTGAGAAACGTAAATCAAAGCCCAACTAGCAATTTAAATGAAGTACGACATTGCGACATTGCAGCTGAGTTCAACCCTGACAGTGACCGTCCGACGGTGATTGATGGCAACACTATACCTGCCCACTCGCGTCGCGTGATATTCCACCTAGTACATACATATATCAACCGAAAATATGTTTTGCAAAATCGGAATATGTTTTATTGTGGCTTGCCAATATTATTCTTGTGAATACGCCATTATATTTTTTCGTTTCGCTATTTCTTTGTTTTTGAAGTTAATATTAACCTCTCAACCTCAGAACGTGACACCTATCAGAGGAGGATTTGGCAACCAAATATTAAATATAGAATCGAACAAATCTTTAGCAGCTTCTTATTTGATGCCTAAATATTATGTGCACGAGTAGGTAATCCTATCAACACTTGAATTTCACTTAAATGGAACTAACCTTCAGGTTGTATCAACTGTTTAAAAGACTTCAATCTTGGACTACGCGGTACAACAATCAAGGTCTCGAACCACTTGACCAACAGGGCAATTAAAGTTAAAGAACTCAAAGCTGATCATAGCCGCGCTCATAATTATCACAGCAACCCTCAAAATATCTGCAGTTGAACATAAGTCCCTCACAGCTTTCCAGAACTCCCACCAACTAGAGGTCATTTAGGTTTCATAACTAGTATAAATATTATTAAATTAATCATTAAAATGATATACCTCTAGAACCACCAGTAAAAGACGTGCATGTTAAAAAAAAATTTCTTCCATAAGCCTTGTTTCTAACATACCTACCCTAACTGATGGCCCTTATTCCCAGGAGGCCAAAACTAACGGACTTGGACGTCGAGGCGAGCCTCCTGGACACATCAGCAGCGAAGCACAAGATTGCTATACGACCGAAGAAAAATCACCCGAAGAACAAATCCGGAAAGAAAGTCAATGAGAACGAAGACAGGTATCTGTTGTTCAAAACTTGCGGGTTTTTTTTAGGAAGTTTTCTTCTTTGATGCTTTGTGTTTTATTCGCGTAAATGGAAGACAAACTCACCGTTCACTACTTATAAGCGAGCATAGAAAAGGGTAAAGACATTAAAATGACCTAAAGTGCTTTATAGAAGGAAATAAGCCAAACGGTATCCATTAATGTCCATACGAGGCCAATATCCACAGAAGGATGGCGAGGATTTAAACAAAAAAGCTGTTTACGACAAAATTGCCGTCCTAAAAAAACTAGTAGAAAATATTATTTTAATAAACAATGTTTTGCTTTATATAATTTGCCCTAGCGACAATTACATAAGAGTAATAAATTAGCTACATTACAGAGAGTTGCGTGACCTGATTTCATTTGCTATGAAATTCGCGAAACTCAGCGGAAACGATATTGCTTGTACTTTCATCATTGGTTTTGCTCGATAATTTCTGCTCGGCATGGAGTGGATAGAAAATGTCTATAAAATATTGTAAGCTCCGAACTAGTCCAAGAGCGATGATGACGTCAAAACGAATACGAATTAACCAGTTATTTTAAAATGAACGTTAACTCGTGAGTTAAGAACTCGCTTACTGTATAGTTGCGTATTAATGAATTTCCAGATACCTAATATTTAGAAGTGTCCAAATATATTAAACTGTTGTATTTTACCAATGTCTCCTTTTTCCGCATCACTGTCATATCACAACTGGTGGTAGGACCTCTTGTGAGTCTGCACGGGTGGGTACCACCGCCTCGCCTATTTCTGCCGTGAAGCAGTAACGCGTTTCGGTTTGAAGGGTGGGGCAGCCGTTGTAACTATACTTGAGACCTTAGAACTTATATCTCAGGGTGGGTGGCGCATTTACGTTGCGGATGTCTATGGGCTCCAGTAACCACTTAACACCAGGTGGGCTGTGAGCTCGTTCACACATCTAAGCAATAAAAAAAAAGGATTTTACTTCTTGCAATGTCCCTCCAGCGCCTCCGATCATTGGTCGTATGAAGAAGTTTGTGGAATGGCATCCCTAGTGTGGTGCGGATTTGATGGAACCACCTTGTCGGACTGCGCCCGCGCGTTCTCTTTCCCTCAATCTTCCCTGTCACGAATTGTCACTCTAGGCTATCGGACGTTTTCCTGATCGTACTACAGGACCCGTATTCAAAAACCGGTAGTCAGATTCAGTATTATTCTTAAAAGCCTTCAATATTCAGTCAGTTCCTGTCACATTTGTGTGATTCTAGAGAAACGAAAAATCTAGCTGGGATTCATTAGAAGCTTCTTTGACTTAATTGTGTTTAATTTGATATTATCATTGTGATTCAAGTCCAATATTTATAATTTTGAAATAGCCCTTACTACAAACAAACTCAGCATTAACATTTCTACATATTCACCGCAACAGCGGCACGCCAAAACGATGTCATATAGAAAATCACGACGATATTTATTAGGAACAAGGAATACGAATTAATAATGTGGGTCAAGAGTACACACATCCGATCGCGGCATATTAATTTCGTGTTTCAGTTCACAGAACAGCATAGATTTTAAACACGTTCAACCCACTTTGTTGTCGTTGTGAGACATTGTTAGTTTCGATAAGATTTTCATGAGCTGTTAGTAAGTGGAGAATCGAAAAAATCAGCATAGCTTTAAAAAGTGTTAGGCTGAAGTAATGTTGGAAAGAGTTATGCATCTAAAATAACTAATAAGTCAAATACTTCACGCAACAAGCAACGTCCGAGTATCACAACTACATCATCTGAGAACTCAATGACGCTCTTCGGTACGGATATTCATGAAGTGATGGGAGTGATAAATGGCTTGAGAGGGGATTGTGCGGTGGGTTGGGATGATATACCAGCTGCTTTAATAAAGGCGGCTGGTCTCATTCTCGCTCCGGTGCTTTGTCATGTTTTCAACACTTGTATTGATTCCGGTATCTTTCCAACAGTTTTAAAAAAAGCATTAGTGCACCCCATACACAAGAATGGTGATAAGATGAATATTACAAATTACAGGCCCATATCAGTTTTATCAACCTTATCTAAGATCTTTGAGAAATTATTAAATAAGAGACTGCTAAATTACCTGAAAACGTATAACATAATTGCCCAAAACCAATACGGTTTTAGATCTGGCAGAGGCACTGAAGACGCAGCACTGGAACTAACCTCCACTATATTAGAACACCTAAACAACAAAGCTAAAACGCTCGCCATTTTCCTCGATCTATCAAAGGCGTTTGACACTGTATCTGTACCTATATTGCTGAGTAAACTGGAAGTCATTGGTATTAGGGGACACTCACTCAAAATATTTCAAAGCTATCTGTCTAACCGCTCACAAATAGTCACCATTGATAATACCACCAGTGAAGAAGCGTCTGTCACTTACGGTGTCCCGCAAGGCAGTGTCCTTGGGCCTACCCTATTTCTTCTGTACTTAAACGAGCTTTGCTTGTTAAAAATTAAAAATACAAATATCGTTACATACGCTGATGACACAGCTGTAGTTGTTCATGGTGATAACTGGATAGAGACGCGTTTATGTGCAGAGGAAGCGCTGGAGGCAGTATCTGATTGGCTTAAAACTAGCTTGTTGACCCTTAATATGGAAAAAACTAGATTTGTTACCTTCTCTCCGAGGAATGTATCGCAGCCACCGCTTTCCTTTTCCTTGACTGTTCATCAATGCCATTCAGAAACGAACACACATGATCTTTGTCCAAAAATTTTACGAACTAATGCTGTAAAATATCTTGGTCTAAAAATTGACGGCACCCTATCTTGGCAAGAGCATATAAATGATTTGGTTGGAAAAGTACGAAAGCTTATCTTTGTCTTTCGGAAGCTAAGAACATCAAGCGATCTCCACATACTGAAAATGGTTTATTATGCTTTGGCACACTCTGTCATAACCTATTGCATTGTCGTCTGGGGAGGCTGTAGGAAAGGATTATTACTTAGATTGGAAAGAGCACAGAGAGCCGTGCTTAAAGTAATATCTAAAAAACCAATAAGGTTTCCAACGGAGGAATTGTATGATATCTGCAAAGTGCCTCGAGTTAGATAATCTTTTATTAGGAGCACATTGTTACGTAAACATTTGGAACTCGTTTTTGACCCTAATATCTGTTCGCAAACTCGTCGTCAGGGCAAAGTGTGCAAAATCTATGTAGCAAATTATAATGTAGTCAGGTCTCACTATAGGTATTTAAGCTCTATTCTGTACAACAAGATAAATAAATTACTAAATATTTACCCACTTATTTCTAAAGAAGTTAAAATTATCATTGATAGATGGCTTTTCTCCCTTACATACGAAGATATAGAAGAATTACTGGAGTAGATTACACATTTTTACACATTTTGGTAATGAACAATTTATATATTAGGTATTAACACGCATCTACACATACACTCAGACATACACACTCACACACACACATACACACACACACACACATACACTAATTGTACTTCTAGATTTTGAAATAATATTGTATTAATTTGATAATTGTATTTAAAATTAATTATTATAATGTGTTTATGAAATATTTCAATTTATATGTTATTGTTCGTTGTGTGTAGGGGTTGGCGTTGTTATCTGCAACACAGTCTATGACTACAGCAGATAACATCGTTTCAATATTTGTTATTATGATTAAAATTGTATGTTTTTGTAATAAATAAATAAATAAAAATAAAAAATAAATAAATGTTAAGCAGGGTACAATTGCCCAGCAGTTTTGTTTCAAATCAAATCAAATCAAATCAAAAAAACTTATTCAACATAAATGAAAGTACATACTTGTTGAACGTCAAAAGAACTACCGCCAATTCACAAAAACTAGCCTCCGTCCTGAGAAGAATTGGCAAGAAACTCAGCGGGCATGTCTATTTTTTTTTTAATATTAGTTGTTGTTTTTTACTATTAGATTTTTTTTAAATATCCATTTTTACAATGAGTATTATAACGTAACAATTATTACAATATTGAAATGCCCGGAGCGAGCAACTCATTCCCACTTTGTGCAATCTTCTAGATAATCATTGACTTTATAGTAAGCTTTATTGCACAGATCTTCTTTAATAGTTTTCTTAAACTTATGTATATGTAGGTTTGAGACCTACAGTGGTTAAGACAGCTAAGGTATTCAGAACATTAGCTAACACAACTAACGCGAGATTGAGCCGTGATGGAAGTTTCAAAAGTTGGTATTTTGTTATATTATTTTTACTAGCAGTGGTACTGTTATAAATTTTTGATTGCAGACTCATCGCTTGACCGGGAATGCTCAGATCGGTACATAAGTACCTAATATGAATAATATAATCTTCAACGCGAATAATTCGTTTTATTTGCCCACAAATATACAGCGCGGTTTAATGAAGTATTTATTATAAATGGATTACTTTCATCTGATTAACATTTAGTCGAACTAGTTCAGTGCGCTTAGTGCGAGTTTTGTAACGTACTCGATAGCGTAAAAGTTATAACTTAAATTTGTATGGAGTTGGAATGTTGCTTACGTTTGCCGCTAGGGGCGCTGTTCCAATTGCATACAAATTTGAGTTAACTTTTACGCTATCGAGAACGTTAAAAAGCTCGCACTAAGCATTCTGGCTATGTGGCCTGTTACAGTTTTCATTTCACGCCTTCCAAGTTCAATGACTGGCTGATTCGCTGCATGCAAGCATAATTATTTCTTGTAGGTATACATTAGGTTTCGTGGTTAACTGCAGAAAAACATTAGAATAAAATACTGAAAATATTTTGTTTCATCCACATTACACGTGAAGCCAATATGCACCGTCTTAAAAAAAACCTTTGATTACGAAATCTCTTACTCGCTCAGATAAAGCTCCAAATATTTATTTAATCTGTTTGTTTTCTTCGACCAATTTCAAGTGTGTGAGCGTTAATGTTATCCGACATTTATTTTGATATCGTCCATTTCTCGTCTGACGTATGGC